AAGAAGAATGGTGCCCTGAGAAAGTGTCGCGTGAGTGCTAAGCACAAGGTTAGAAAAGAAACAAGTATCATGTGTGCAGGCTGTGGTGTGGCTCTCTGCAAACTTTCATGTTTCAATGTTTATCACACGAAGAAAAACAAATAAAGAGGTGTGGAAAAGCATTTATTGCATAAAATATTGTATTTTAATTAGTTCCCAAAAATTTCGTTTTTAAAAACCAATTTTTGTTGAAGTTGTTTAGGAAAAAGTAACTACATGCATTTTAGCGACATAAGGTTTAAAGGGCCTGCCAGGACAGGGGTGGGATTTAAATACCCTTCGTGCCAGTCAAAGAGTTAACAGATCACACGAGGGGCCAACACTACGAAAACAATAATGTAAGTCCAGCAAATTGTCCATACATGGCTGCAAAATATTAAAATGGGCTTATACCACTGTAGCATGTTTAAGCTCATGTAGCACACACAGAAATGCCTGGATCATTGGATTTCGAGGAAGAGTGACAGGACATCCATCGTAATTCAAATTGGTATCCATTTTTGTACATGTACATTTGCTTTAATATAAAATAAATGTGCTGATGATTTTTGATACAACCTATGTATATTCCATCAGGAGTGATACCAGTTCCTGTTTTATGTTCCCTTCTCCTTGAGCGTGCTGTTTGCAGTAGTGGTGTGCCTCTACAAAAATAATGTTGAATACTTCATCTGTAAACAGCATTCAAATCAGTCTGCACCGATACAAGGTGCAATAATTCAATTCAAATGAGGTTTGGAAGAATGACTTGATGTACTGTCTCCTGTCAAGGCATGTCTCATTTACTGGAACATTATCATCACTATTTTCTGTGTACATTCCAAATCAGACTTATGAACACAGGATTCAACCCTTGGGTTCAGTAAGAGGAAGAGAATTTCCTAACTGAGTCTCTCAAGGACTCTCCTGCATGAAATCAGAGTCAAGAAAAGAGACATCTCAAGTAAACATTTGTTCAAATTTACATCATCAATTCACAGCTATATGTCTAAATAGTAATAAAGCATCTTCCACATAAAGTGGTCGAGTTTGTGTGAGTGTGTGCCAAAATCAAGGTCTTCCAGAGTAACATATTGTCACGTGTTTGGAATCCGGAAGGGTTACTTCCATGGTACTTCTAACAGTGAGTCTCCAATGTTACATTGAACTGTTAGAAGCGTTATGTAACATTGGGAAATAATGCTTTTCCTAAACAACGGGCTGAATCAGCGGGAGTAATGCACTTCCGCAGTAACGAGCATAGGACACGTGAAACTGGATGGTTGAGGATGGTGTCCTCTAAGCGGTTCGAAAAACCCCTATATAATGAAGCTCAGCATTTGCCGAGATATAGTTGAAGACAGTTGAGATGGGCAGAGACGGTTAGAAGATAGCCACCGCAGAATGCAGCTGAAGTGACACTAATTGTACTTGAGTGTGTAAGAGTGAGTGTTCAATAAATATCCGCTTAATCCGAGACTGACATGAAGTTGTAAGGTTTGAGGTTTTCATGGCGGTGACTATGAAGAAACTAGTCTTCTGGGATTTGGCACCGTGTATATGTGGTGTTAACCGACGTTTCGGAGGAACGTATCGCCTCCATCTTCAGGGTAGAAGGAAAAATATAAGAAATCTGCAGGCGAAGAGACTGTGAGAACCAGTACAAGCAGACTGGTGTTGGAAATATACACAGCTATGTGAGAGCAGTGAAGGAAGGGGGGAAGGGCAAGTCTAATGTGAAATCAGTGGAGTGGGAGGGGGGATAGGAGCTGGGACAGGAGCCGGGTTTTGTGTTGGGGGAGAGAAACGCAAGGTTAAAGGATGGGCACTAACCCTTAAGCTGGGGGGGGTTGTTATGTTAGTCGGTCATGGCCTGTGTAGCCTTCTGGATCTGGCATCATATCCTGGGGGAGGTTTTTTAAGAGAACAGATGAGAGGCTTCTATGACTTGCTGAGACAAAACCCCCCTCTCTGTTCATATTTTCGGGATGGAGTTTGATCTCAATGGCTTCCCCGATGATGCGATCCATATAGCAGGTCTTGGTGGCGAGGATGGAGGTATTCTGAAGCTGAATATGGTCTCCCAGATCGATGCTGTGTTCAGCTACGACTGACTTGTCTGCATGTTCGAGACGGATGTGCCGCTGATGCTCCTTCAACCTCATGTCCACGGAGCGGCCTGTCTGCCCAATATAGACCTTGCCGCACTCGCATGTGATACTGTATACACCCGGTGTCCTTAGGCCCAGGCTATCTTTGACCAGCCAGAGGAAATTGGATAATTTGTTTGGAGGCAGACCCACTGCTTTGATGTTGTGCCAGGACAGCACTCTGCTGATACGGTTGAATATAGTAGAGGGTCTGCCTCCAAACAAATTATCCAATTTCCTCTGGCTGGTCAAAGATAGCCTGGGCCTAAGGACACCGGGTGTATACAGTATCACATGCGAGTGCGGCAAGGTCTATATTGGGCAGACAGGCCGCTCCGTGGACATGAGGTTGAAGGAGCATCAGCGGCACATCCGTCTCAAACATGCAGACAAGTCAGTCGTAGCTGAACACAGCATCGATCTGGGAGACCATATTCAGCTTCAGAATACCTCCATCCTCGCCACCAAGACCTGCTATATGGATCGCATCATCGGGGAAGCCATTGAGATCAAACTCCATCCCGAAAATATGAACAGAGAGGGGGGTTTTGTCTCAGCAAGTCATAGAAGCCTCTCATCTGTTCTCTTAAAAAACCTCCCCCAGGATATGATGCCAGATCCAGAAGGCTACACAGGCCATGACCGACTAACATAACAACCCCCCCCAGCTTAAGGGTTAGTGCCCATCCTTTAACATTGCCTTTCTCTCCCCCAACACAAAACCCTGCTTCTGTCCCAGCTCCTTTCACCCCTCCCACTCCACTGATTTCACATTAGACTTGCCCTTCCCCCCTTCCTTCACTGCTCTCACATAGCTGTGTATATTTCCAACACCAGTCTGCTTGTGCCGGTTCTCACGGTCTCTTCGCCTGCGGATTTCTTATATCTTTCCTTCTATGCTGAAGATGGAGACGATACGTTCCTCTGAAACGTCGATTAACACCACATATACATGGTGCCAAATCCCAGAAGACTATTTTTTTCTCCATATGAAGTTATTTGTCGTGCCGCATAGGCAACATGCGACAGTATCATCCTGTAAAAATACTAACTTCCTGTATACATTATCTGCATATTACTCACTTCATAAACTAACCATGAGTCCTGATTACACCCTACAATTGTGGTTATGATAGCAATCACCAGTAAGGAGTTGATGAAAAATGGCATTTGAAGAATGCACTAGCTTGAACTGGAAAGTACAGATCATGATAAAGCCAAATATCACAGTGCTATAATTAGAATACATATTTCTGAAAAGAGATCTTCTATGCCAATCATATTCTAAGATAAGGTTTTTCCCTCACTCAACTGCACAAAGATAAATAACTTCTCTGGGAAGGACAAAAATAACATTAAGATGTGTTAACCTCACATAGCATGCACTGAATACATGATGACAAGGAGCAACAAGGACTTACAGATTGTTGCTGCCGCAAGCAGTCTCACTGAACTATCTGGAACTTGACAACTTGGGAAGAAAGGCTTTATCACATAACTGGCAAATGTAAGTCCCATGATGGCATTGGTTGTTGGCCTGTAAGAATCAGATCAAATTTAAAAGCAATTATTGCTTAATTAACCCTTTGATGCCACAAAGAACAGCATGCCAGCAATTTTTTCATGTTGCCCTCTGATGAACACAGCACAGCTAGTGTTTTGGTGCCGGCTCTCAATTTGAACTGCTGCTTATGTAAAAGCAATTCTTTTGGTAAAAAAAGATGTAAAGCTATCTCTGTAAAAGACCTGAAAGGACCACAGGATTGTGAGAAGTTGAGGATCCCACATTTTCTACACAATAGGCTCACAGATGGAGGTGAGGTTGTCAGCCGTATGCATCAGCAGCCTGTTATTACCAGGAAGATTCCTGGTACTCATTTCTGTTAGAGGGTGAGTCGACCCCAGGGCTACATTGCAGCTGGAAGGATTAGGTGCATTGAAAAATCCAACGATATTGGGAATGGAACCTGTGACCATCCAATTTGTAGCATAGTGCCTCAAGCACAAAATTAAATAGAAAATTATGGGCCATCATTCTGTATATGTGATGGGGGTATGTTCTGTTGCTACCCTTTTCAATGAACCTATGAAGAATCTTGACATTTCAACCTCCAAAGAATCCATCTCAATCTGAGGCCCAGCGAAACATTTAAAAAATGTGTTGACTTTTTATGGTGAAGAAATATTAGTCCCGAGCCCAAGCCCTAAGCTGCATTATTACCCTCTTTCTGGATACCTGCTTATTCAGTATATTTTGACTTGCTCTACAAAATGTGCAGATCGCTTCTTTAGATCGGCAGCATGGGGACTCATCATGTGGCAGTAGCAAGGCAGCAAGAGAGGACTTGAATGAATGAATGAATGATTTTCTGACAGGAGTGAATAGGAAGATGGGTTTTGGCTGATGTGGTATACAGATGGTTCCAAGATAAATAAGGACACTTGAGCTGGTGTGTACTGCTAAGGCACGAGGCGGAAACTTAGTTTCAGCCTTGGGCAGTACACGACAGTATTCCAGGCAGAAGTATATGCCATTAAGGCATGTATTATGGAGAATTTAGATAGGAACTACAGAAATAGGAACATCTACATTCTATCTGACAGTCAGGCTGCACTTAAAGCACTTGACAAACACCAGATCAACTCAAAATTGGTCTGGGATTGCCACCAAAGCCTCGTGGAACTGGCCAAACATAACGGGGTACAACTGATATGGGTGCCGGGGCATGAGGGTATTGCTGGAAATGAAACAGCAGACCAATTGGCCAAGATTGGAGCTGAACATCCATTCATAGGACCTGAACCAGCCTGTGGAATTTCTACAGGAGTTGCCAGAAAGGCAATCAGGGACTGGACAAATATGAAGCACAAGAAATACTGGGGATCCTTGGCTGGACTCAGGCAAGCAAAGGGACTCATACAAGGACCCTCTGCCAAAAGAGCGAAGGAACTGTTGGTGGTGGGACTACTTACAGGACACTATCAAATTAAAGGACACCTCTTCAAACTGGGACTAAGTGATAGTCCCTCTTGTGAGAGGTGTCAAGAAGAAAATGAAACAGCCACACATATTCTGTGTGAATATTATTTAATTATTTAAGATTACGTCACTTGGGTCAATACTTTATGGAACCAAGTGACTATTTTGACACCCCCACATACAAAATCGTATGCTTCATTCGAAGCGCAGGATTTCTGAGGGGATAATCAAAAGGGGAAGCACAATAGATCACTGTAGGTCGCAGTGCAAGGACCAAGAAGGCCCGCCCTTTATACATTCATTCAGAGAGGACTTGGCATGGAATGCAATTTGTAGGATTTCAGGTTCTCACTGTGGAGGTTATGAAGAGTTCTATCTTCTGGGGTATAACACTGTGTAGTTTGTAAAATGTCAAGTGATATTTTGGAGGAATGTATTGCCTCCATCTTCAGGGTTGAAGAATAAGCCAAGCAAGAAAGAATGAAGGAGGTAGCAAGCAGAGATTTCTTGCAGCTGTGTACCTCCAAAACATCGGCTAACATTCAATGGACTACACAGTCTTATATCCTGAAACACAGAACTCTTCACTGAGTGTGACTGATCAAAGAGGCCATTTTCCAATAACTAGTTAAAAAACTACCATGATTATATTGAATATGTGATATGATCCTTTTAAAGCTGTTAAATGACACTAAAGAGCAATACCATATTTAGACTATACATGAATTTTGTAAATTGTAAAGAATTATTGTGAAACTTTTAATTCCTTTATGTAATATGAAGCAACATCTGTAGTAAGTGCATAGAATACATCAAATCACGCAGGGTGATTACAGGATTTATGTAACATGTTGTTTTCACAAGAGCATATCAGACAGGTTAGTTATCATGGAAATGATATAATGGTAATGTTATCAGTTAAAATTTAACCTTAACTTACACAAAAATAAGCATAGCATCCCATAGATAAAGGAAGGCTGGCAAAGGTCCAAAAGCTTCAAAGATGTAAGCATAGTCACCACCAGACTTGGGAATTGCAGTACCAAGTTCAGCGTAGCAGAGTGCCCCTACCATGGAGAGCACCCCACACAGCATCCATACTATGACCGAAAGGCCAGGTGATCCCACTTCCTGAATAACCCCAGTAGGTGACACAAAAATTCCTGCATAAAAATAAGCATTCAAACCTACAACCAATTCTTGGATTCATAAGAATAATAAGAACAGGAAAATGTAGAAGTCACAGAAAAATTCCTTCAATCAATCTGATATCAGACAGTGTTCAGATGTCATTAACAATATGGGCCTCTATAACATTTTTATTTTTTTTTTTTGATGCAGCTGAAGAAATGAGATATAACAATAAGGATGATAGATGCAGTTCTGTCCACTGAATGTTAACATTTACAATAATACCATCATCAGAGGCACTTGCTACAATTATGGAAACACTGTCACTGTTTTTGATGTTCACAATTTTGTTTGTCGTGTGGACGTTGCTACGATATGTTGACGTGTAAAAGCACAAAACATGCTAAGATAGTTGAGTACACTCTCAAGTTCTCACTTTTCATCCGAACCAATTTTTAAGTTAAAACGCTAAAATGTTAAAATATTTGATATAAAATGCTGAACTCCTCCTTGTTAATTCATCCCGAAGATGGGAGACATCAGCTTGAGGTTGTATGGCTTCAAAGATATTATATTACTTAGGATTTTATATATTATTATATATATTGTTTAATGTTGTATTTGATTCTTGCTTACCTTATGGTTTGATATGTTCCTGTGTGCTGTGTACTGTGTACTGCAGTAGGAAACAATTCAAAATATCCAAAAAAAGTGATCGCCAATGATGCCGGGGCAGAGAATGGGAGGAAGATGGGGGTGGGGGGGGGGGGGTGGGGGAGCG